AGTAAAGAGACCAGCCCTTCATGCAATGGCCTGAACATACCGATAGCAGTTTCAGCAGTGTCCGCACTGTCGAACTGAACCACACCGGTGCCACGGGAGCGACCATTGGGCTCATACTGAATTTCGGCGCGATCAACCTTGCCGATGGTGGAGAACAAGTCGACGAGGTCCTCGTGGCAGGTAGACCAGGGCAGCTATATCCGGATGAGTCACCAATACTCTTGACGAAGTCAGGGTTCAACTTACGTTGCGCACGTAGATGACGGGGCTCTTCTCGCCGCCGGAAGTGGCGAAGTCAGTGAAGGGGTTGGGAGGAACCGAAGCGACGCCCTCGAAGCCGGGGCCGCCGGGAGGACCGCCAGGGCCGCCGTAGCCAGGACCGCCCCCGTAGCCGCCGCGACCACCAAAGCCGCCGCCGAAACCACCACGACCGCCAAAGCCACCGCGGCCTCCGAAACCGCCGCCGAAACCACCACGACCTCCGAAGCCACCGCGGCCCCCAAAGCCGGGACCGGCACCAGCAAAGCGGTCCTCACGGACCTCCAAGGGCCGACCTTGCCAGTCGTAGCCGTTGAACTGCTGAATGGCATTGCGAGCGTCCTCAGGGGACTCGAACGCGACAATACCGGAGCCCTTGGGCCGACCGGTGGCGTCAGTGTGAACATCGGCACGAATAACCGCACCTTGTTGAGCTACAGAATTAGCTGCTGTCCGAGCAGAACTCACGCAAGCGGCCCTTAAAGGGCGCCGCGCCCTTTCGTTTAGAGTGACTTACCGGCTTGACGGAACAAGTCCTTCAGATCTTGCCAACCCACGTTGAACGGAAGCTAGACATCCCACCATCAATTCTCCGTCATTTTTATTGCTTTCAGTGACCGCACTTACGTTGGACACGAAGAGCTGACGACCTCCAGCACCACCAGCACCACCGCCGCCGCCAAATCCACCACCGAAACCGCCGCGGCCGGCACCGCCAAAGTCGCCACGCGAAGGTCCGCCGGTGAAACGCGGCTCGGGTTCACGATCCTACGGCCATCCCATCAGTCGGCAATTATTGATAGCTGAAGCCGAGTCATGACCTACCTCACGAACGTAGACAAGACGGCCCATCAGGTTCTGGTTGCTAAGGGTGTTGACCGCATTTTGCGCTTGATCCCTGGTCGCGTATTCCACAATCCTATCCGAAGAGTCAGCAGGCGTTCCGACAAGATCATTGAGCGCCAGGAGGTCCTTACCCGCATCCCTACAGTATCCCGGACGGCCAGGCCCAGCCCGTCAACCCAAACAGTCCATAACAAGCAAACCAACGAGAGGGGGAAGGGAAGGGGAGAGTCCAGGAATAACAACAAGGGCAGAAAAAAAAACCAGCCACACTACGCATTGGCGCCCACCTTCGACATTCCATTGGGAAGAAGCAAGACATCGGCAAAGATAACTTCTCCAGCTGTAGACACGCAACGCGGGTGAATCCCCCTCCAAAGTCAGCCCTCAAATTCGATAGCGACGACACGAGCGAACCAGACGCTCGAGACGATGTGACCCTGCTCACCCTGTCTCATAAAATCCTTGAGGTGATGCCACTTGACATCGTAGGAAAGGTTGCCCACATAGACCCGACGGTCTTGCTGAGACGATTCGCGGACGGCTTGCATCATTTGTTCTTTGTGAACAGCGCGTTCTTCGTATGACCGAGCCGGAGGCGGGTAGCTGCTGCGCCCACCGTAACCAGAAGATGAATGACCACCAGAAGGGCCTTGGGCCGCACTCATAGGCGAGCGGGAACGACGATCGGAACGGCGGAAGTCGTCACGACTGCGTGAGCGACTGCGAGGAGAGTAGGAACGACGGGTGCGTCGGGGGCTACGGGAACGGCGACGGGGAGAACGGGACCTCTCGCGCTGGGCGTGGTCAGTATCGTCAAAGGCGGGTGGAGACATTGACGAGGAGCGAGAATTGAGCGCGCCGCAGGTAAGACCGGGCACGGACGGAGGGGAGAAAAGACGTGCGGAAGGAAAGGGAAAATTAGGGGAAAGGAGGTGGAGAATGTGCGCGCAAGGTCCCTAATCAGAATTGGGACAGGAATGTAGGAGGAGGAGATGAGTGTTGGGTGTGGGATGAATTGAAAGGATAAAAGATGGGACGGGTAACAGAAGATGGGAATGAGTTGGGAAGAGTTGAAGGGAAGAGAGGAGTCGGGAAGCAGCAAAGCAGCGAACAGCAGCAGCAGCAGCAGCGGCAGCAGAGGGGGAGGGAGGGATTGGTCCGAGTTGCCGGGCTGGTAAGATAGGTAGTCAGGTGACTCTCGGACCCGGTGCGGGCCAGACTCGACTGGGAATCAAGCAGCACAACTCAAAAAGGACCTTGCGGAACAGTGGGGGAGGCGACCCGTAATGGAGTATGGTGAAAGAAAAGAGAAAGCAAGACTTGAGATCCCAGCTGAAGGCAAAGAAAGACAACGAGGATCGGTAGGCAGGTAGGTAGGCAGGTAGGTAGGCAGGTAGGAAGGCAGAGATAAGAGAAGACAAGACAAAAGCCCTGGTCGCGAGACTGAAGCATGAGAGAAGCAGACGATAAAGTGGTCGGTGCGTCTTGCCCCAGGCGGAGAAGAGGAGCCAGCAGCAGCCAGCAGCAGCCACCGGCACCACCAGAGCAGCAGCAAAAAGAGGAAGGCTACAACCGCCCGGGTGGGGACCCGGTGGTTCATCTCCTCCTGCTGCTGCTCCTCCTCCTCTCCCATACCTTAGTACTCACTCTCTCGTTCGCAGTGCCTGCCTCCCTCTTCTCTAGCTCTGCCCTTTGCCTCGATTCCTGTCCAGGATGAAGGAGCGAAGGATCATAGGGGAAAAAGTAGTCGTTTCGCTACACAACACAAAGCAGTAACAAGGAAACACAATCGAAGAAAATCCCACACTTACTTGGTGAGGTCGATACACGTCGGCTGCACACCGGATCTAGATGGTAAGCCACCAAGCCAATGGTCGGGGTTTAAACAGACAAAGGAACCATCCAGGGATTACCAGGCTAGGAAGATTGAAGACGAGAAAAGGGAAGTGAGAACTGATTGAAATGGGAAGCAAGTGAGGTAAGAAGTAGAGGAGAAGGAGAAGGAGAGGGGAACGATGGGGAAAGGAAAGATGGAGATGGGAATGTGAAGAGGGAGAGAGGGGAGGAGAGGAGAGGGAGGAGAGGGTAGAATCAGTAATCAACCGAAGAAAGGCGAGACCAACACTTAAAACTAAGGAAGAGAAGAGCGAGAGAGCGAGCAAGAGATAAAGGAGGGTGACGGCGGGGGGGGGGGGGTTTGGGTTGGGTTGGGAAAAGGGAACGAACACTCGTTGGTTGGCAGACGGAAACGATGGTGGTAGTGGTAGTGGTAGTAATCGTAAGGTGGTAAGGTAAGGTAGGTAGTAGGTAGGTAGGTAGGTAGTAGGTAGTAGCAGTAGAATGGAAGGAAGAGTAGAAGCAGTGAGAGCAAGAGCAGCAGTAGGAGCACAATAACACCCATCAGCCAGCAACCACCAGCAACCACCACCACCACCAGTAGCAGCAGCAAGCCAGCAAGCAAGCAGTCAGTCAACAATCACTCATGGTTCCAGGCGGCCCGTGTCTGTCTCTCCTCAACCTGCAGGATCACAGTAATGTGATTGGCCTCGTTGGTTCCCCTTCTTCCCGCTGCCCGCTTCCTCTTGTCACCCTGACTGACAGCTTCAGAGACAACCTGGAACCTGACATGGTCGCCATGCCAGCCAGCAATTGAAGTGAACTGATAAGAGACATGAACGAGGGTGGCATAGACGCCACAGCCTTCGTCCTTCTCTCCAATTGTGTATCATTGGCTTCTTGTGTCTCTTACTCGGGCAAGTGCTCGACTGGACGGCGTCTACAGGGGAGAGGGCATTGAGGATGCACCAGACATGAACGTGCAGTCACCGGACTGGCTCATCTGGAGGGGAGGATGACAAAGTACTATCCACGGAGGGAGAGGTGATGAGGGAGATTCAATGAGGCAGGAAACGAAAAGCAAGGCAAGTAGGACGAGACGAGAGACAATCGAAAGACGAACCCACCCATGATGGTTTCTAGATAATCAATTGTGAAGTCGGCAGCAAACAAACGGTCAGAGTAGGGGAGGGAGGGAAAAGGGCAGAAGATAAAAGGTGTGTGAGTGGAAAGGGAGGCGGATGAGTGGATGGGAGAAGAGGACGTGGAATGCAGATGCGGATGATGACAGGATGAGTGGGCGGGGGTCGAAGGAACGGAGGGAAAAGGTAAGATGAAAGGGACATCGCTAGTCGGAAGTAGTCTGAAATAGTCCGTTAGTTTCGACAGTAATGACTGCGAGAATGATCTATAAACTAGTCCCTACGTGACTGGACACTACCCTTACTACCAGTGCATAAACAGGATCACTAGAAGAAGAGATCAGTCAGATCGATCAGATCTATTTAACAATGGTTGTTATTGAGAGACTGTTAGCTCCACTACAGCAAAAATCCCAATTATAGTAGAACCAACCACTGCCAATGGTCATTGAGGGGGGAGATCTTCAGGTACCACAGAGCTAGTTACCTGGACCAACAACCTACGAGATGTATATTCATAAGATTCTGGGACTGAGTGCAGGTATTGAGGTAGTGGAGCATTGACTTTCTTAATTACCGTCAATATACTATTTCCCTGACTTTCCTCTAGTAGGTGGTGGACGAAGTACTGTACTTTACTGTCTGCGTAGGAGGCATTCTGACTACTTCTTAATAGCATAATCCAGCTCTAGTACCAGACACTAATACGAACAATAAAGTCAACAATTCAATCCGAGTATTTCCAAATGCACCCACATGGTCAACATCAACCACAGACCAATCCCACTGCAGTTAAACCATTCAGTGGTTCACCCCGGCACCAGCGAGTCTGGCACTGCAGGCAATCTTGGCTCCGCTCAGGCCACCGCTTAACAAATTCCTCCCGCCGACATCCCGACTTTCTTTCAACCCCCATCACCACTGCAAATCTCTCCTTCTCTACCTTCACCTCTAACTCTCTTCAACCCTCTCCTTTACAGCCATAAAAAACACCTCCCTGAACCATGACCCGACCAACCTCCCTCCTCGCCCTCACCCGGAGAGGACTCTCCCACGCCTCCTCCCCGCGCGCCGCCCTCTCCCTCGCTCCCCGAACCCATCTCCGCCAGCCCAAGCCCCAATCGCAAATCCACACCACCACCACCACCACCACCACCAACCCCCGACAAAACAACCTCACAATCACCTCTCGAACAACCCCGTCCCGCCCCAATCGTCTGTCTCCCTCCACGCGCACCTACCACTCCGACCACCACCCCACCCAACCCCACGACTACACCAACTCGCAAACCACCATCCTCTCCGCCGCCCTCCACCACGTCCCCACGCACGGCTTCTCCCGCAACGCCCTCACCCTGGGTGCCCGCGACGCCGGCTTCCTGGATGTCTCCGTGCAGCTCCTCCCCCGCGGCGAATTCGACCTGATCCTCTTCTGGCTCGCCAGCCGCCGCGGCCTCCTGCGCTCCAAGGTCGAATCCGATGGCCTGTTCTCGGCCGGCCCCGTGCTCTCCGTCGACGACAAGATCCAGATCCTGTTGATGGAGCGCTTGCGCATGAACGCCGAGGTCAAGGATCAATGGCAGGATGTGAGTATTTCCCCCAACCCCCTTGAACTCCCAGCCAGAGAGTAAACACGCACGCACACACACACGCAAATGAACAACAACGATGCTAACACATTCTATTCTGCGAAACCAGGCATTGGCAGTCATGTCCCTCGGAGAAAACATCCCCCTCTCCCTTTCGGAACTGCACGCCCTGGCGGACGATATCCTCAACCTGGCGGGTGACAAGTCCGTCGACGCCTCGTGGTACTCGAAGCGCATGGCGGTGGCGGCGGTGTACGCGGCCTCGGACTTCGTGATGACCCGCGACACGAGTGCCGGGCTGCGCGAGACGGAGGAGTTCGTGGCGCGTCGGTGGGCGGATGCCCGCGCTGTCGGGGATAAGCTCACGGGGGTGAGGGAGTGCCTGGGATTTATGGGGTCGACGGCGGTGGGGTTGGGACGGAGTTGGGGGTTGAAGATATAAGAAAGAGAAAACAGGGGAGTCTGGTATCATATTTAATTATCTTTTTAGATCTTGTTCATCGAGAGCATTCGCCGCTTGTATACTGTTCTAGGGTTTGGATATGTGATTTACAAGATATTATACACGATAGGGGATATATTTCCGAAATCTTTCTATACATGACCCTTGACGCTGCTAGGTTCGTCGTTGGGGCTTGTTCATCTGCTCTCGGCGCCTCAGCTCTTCGACCCGCGCTTTCACCTTGGCGACCCACCCGTCGTCGTCGTACAGGGCCCGGAAGGCCTTGCGGTTCGGCGCCAGATCCCACCACGTCTCGCGGCCGACGCGCACTTTCTCTGCCGGGTTCCGCGGCCGAGGGAGCGATCCGATATTCCGTTTCCAGTGCGCCTTGAGATCGCGCGTGCGCTGGGTGGCGATCGAGCCCAGGATCCGCACCGTGCGAGCATCCGGCTCCACGCCGGTGACGTCCATCTCCTGCATGAGGGCGACCACGGCCGGCAGATCCTGGCACCCGCGCCAGTAGAAGTAGATCAGCTCGTTGTAGAGCCCGGTCGAGCCGCCCAGCACGGCGGACGTGGGGCCCATCAGGCGGATAGTGGACCGGAACTGGCCGATCAGCGGCGACGCCGGGGAGTGCAGGTTCAGCAGGCGGAAGGCGGCCAGGAGCATCTTGGGGTATAGTTCGGCGACGACCGAGGAGACGGGCACGCCCTCGGGGAGAACCAATTTGTACGCACTCTCCCCTTGAAGCTCGATGTCCTCCTCATTGATTGTCGCTGCCTCTCCCTCCTGCTGTCCTTCCCCGTTCGCGGCCGTCGAAGTCTCAGTTTCCTGCGGCTCACTGAGCTCCTCATACTCCACCTCCACCTCAGCGCCCCAAGGATCATCTTCCACCTCCGCTGGTTCCTCCGGCGCGAAGAACATGTCGTCAGATTCATCCTTGAGCACCTCCGTCTCGTCCGCGTTCGTGTCGGAATGCTGCATCCCCACATCCGTCTCCAAAACACGAACGAGCGGAAAGACCATCTCGCGACAAGCATCCCAGAGCCTCCTGTCCCCATGCTTCCCCTTGACCGCCCTCAGCAGCGCCGTCTCGATCACATGGCTCTCGCGCAGCACCACCGCCTCCACCGCCCGCTCCGTCGAGACAAGGTTCCGCGTGAGCCAGTCCGTCAGCTGCGCGTTGATGAAATCCCCTCTCTTCAGCCGCAACTCGATGAACTCCGTCAGCGAGGAACTCGCCGGCAACGCCGCCGGGTCGTCACCCCCGGCATGGTACGAGGTCGAGTACGGGGTCACTAGGGAAGATTGGCCCCGCTTCTCCAATTTTTGCTGTTCTTGCCGCTGCTGCCGGACCTTGCGCTCTTTCAGATCTTGGAGGACGGACTCGAAGATGGCGGAGATCTGTGACATTTCGTGGAGGTCGTCTTCGGTGGGTTCGTTGGCGGCGGCAGGTTGAGATTGAGGTTGTTCGGTTTCGGAGGGAGAGGATGAATCCGGGAAAGCAACGCCAGGCGCTGAGGGTTGGGGCGGCGGCGGTGGCCATGCGGACAATGTGGGTAACGCGCTATTGGGCTTGAGATCGGCTCCGGCGCCAAGGGCCTCGAGCATCTCGCCAAAGGCTTGTTTCTCGCTGTTCGTCATCATCGTCAAGGCGCGGGGAGGGGGTTTGAGCCGGTTTAAGGATGATTGCGCTGGGGCAGCGATGGAGGATACAGAGGCGGCCTTGCGCTTAAGGAAGCTGCGGCGTCCGGGCCGGGGTGCTGGTGGTGTGCTTTCTTGTGCTGAAGGGTCAGGTTTGGAGTATTCTGTGTTGTCATTTTGTTCCTGTGATTGTTCCTGTGACTGCTGTTGTTGTTGCGCCTCGGTTGAAATCATAATTGACTGAATCTGTTGACGCTGGAGCTGCCGGTGCTGATATCGCAATTTGGGCACCGCGGCGAGCGTGCGAGTCTGATAGAGGAATGGAACGGAGGAGTTGCGAGTCGCTCGGGCCAGAGCCAGCCAGGCGCGAGCGTTGCGAGCACTCATCATGCTCTTCCTGCAGTGTGTATATAACACTAATGCAAAAGGCGGTGGTGGGAGAGAATCAGAAGGCGAAAATAAGAACCCCCAGGCTTGCGGACCAAAAATTCTATGGAATAAACTTCCGCGGAGGATTTGAAATTATTTCACTTTTGCCATTGCCGCCGCCCGGTCAATTAAAGTCACGTGCCCACGCGGCGGGTCCAGACGCGCCGCTTTCTCCAGCAAATGCATCGCTCTTCAAAGCTTCTTTCTTACGTGTGCCACTCACCCCGTCTTGTCTCCTCTTGTCTGATTTTCTAGCCTTTGATCTGTCCTTCGTTAATCATCGATACCTAAAAGTACCATCCTTAAAGAAACAATGGGCGAGGAGATTTCCGACTTCGAAAAGCAGCGTCTGGCCAACATCGCCGAACGCGATGCGCTCCTCAAGAAGCTCTCCCTGGAGGCGCAGTCCTCGGGGCTCTTCCCGCCTAAGATGCAGCCTTCCAGTACCCCTTCATCGCGGGATCAGTCCGCTCGCGCGAAGAAGAAAACGCCCGTGAAGCGCGTCAAACAGGAGGAGGCGTCGCCGGTGCCGCGCAGGATGTCGTCGCGACTGAGGGGCATCGCGGCGGAAAGCGAGGTTGCGAAGCGGAAAGCGGAGGAGGTGGATGCGGCGCTGCAGGCGGCGGAGCGGGCGAAGCGCGTGCGCAAGTCGGACGCCTTCTCGTTCAATGAGATGGTGGTGTACGGGCAGAAGCTGTCGGGGGATAGTTTGATCGGGGTGGATGTGGTCACCAAGGGTGTAGCGATGCCGTACCAGCGCACATTTGACGAGGATGATATCGAGCAGACGACGGATAAAGACCTAAAAGCATTGAGGGAGGAGATGAGCGGATTGAAGCTGTGGGATGCATGGGAGCCCAACCGTCTGTTTACCCTCACCCCCCAAATTTTGAGACTTCTATACTAATCACAACGTCCACAACAGGCATCAAACTCACCCCGGAAAGAATTTACACTATGGCCTTCCACCCCACTGAGACGAAGCCGCTTCTCTTTGCTGGCGACAAATTGGGCCACATCGGCATCCTTGACGCATCGCAAGAACGGAACAACGCGATCAAGGCCGAGGAGTCCGGCGACGAGGACGAGGACGATGAGGACCCCGACCCCAGCTTCACCACCCTCAAACCGCACACTCGCACCATCAGCTCCATCTACATCCACCTTTCCACCCCAACCCGCATCTACACCGCCAGCTACGACAGCAGCATCCGCGCGACCGACCTCGAGAAGTCCACCAGCGTCGAGCAATACGCCCCCGAATCCACCTCCGACGATGTACCCATCTCGGGCCTTGATATGGCCACCGACGACCCGCACGTCCTCTATTGGACAACCCTCGACGGTGAATTTGGGCGCTACGACACGCGTCTCGAGCGCTCGAAGCCGCAGTCCGTGACCACCTGGCGTCTCGCCGAGAAGAAGATCGGAGGGTTCTCCCTCTACCCCGCGCGACCCCATTACTTTGCAACTGCCTCGCTCGATCGGTCCATGCGCCTCTGGGATCTCCGCATGCTGCAAGCCCCCACCAAAGCTGCTGGACGGTCCACCCGACGCCAGGTACAAGAAGATGACGTTGAGCAGCCCTCTTGGGTTCCCGTCGGCGAGCACTACAGTCGACTCTCCGTGTCGCATGCTGCCTTCAACAGTGCCGGTCAAATTGCCACTTCCTCGTACGACGACACCATCAAGATCTACGATCTCAGCGGCCCCAAGGGAATCAACACGTGGGACAAAGGCCACACACTCTCTGAAGACGAGTTGAAGCCCCAGACGGTCGTCAGGCACAACTGCCAGACGGGACGATGGGTGACCATGTATGTTTCCCCAAAACAAACAATACCCTCACTATCGCTGGAAGGACCCATATGCTGACAATATCCCAAGCCTTCGCCCCCAGTGGCAACAGAACCCCCAGTCCCCCATCCAGCGCTTCTGCATTGGCAACATGAACCGCTTTGTCGATGTCTACAGCGCCTCCGGGGATCAACTGGCTCAGCTCGGCGGCGAGGGCATCACGGCTGTCCCCGCGGTGGCGGTCTTCCATCGGAGTAAGAACTGGGTGGCGGGCGGTACGGCAAGCGGGAAGATCTGCTTGTGGATGTAGTAGAGTGATGTGAAACGATTCAGGCGAAGGGAAGCGTGTCTCGTTCTGAGGTGATTCTGGTTTATACGTTGGCGGCGGCGGCTCTTGTTGGATGTACTGTAGATCTGTAAATAGTCGTGTTAGCATATTCGGATTTTGTAAGCGGGATTAAGCTTTGGCAGGGCAGTCAGTGGCTTCCAGTAGATAGGCTCGTGAAGAGCATTCTCAATTGCACTTTCCAATACTTTCCACAAGTACAAAGTCAATACCCTAGCGAACTGAAAGCTGACTGGTAACTTAGGTTATCAACGGCTATCACTCGCGTCGGCAAACCCCCGCACCGAAATGCGGAGAAGATAAGCGGAGGCGCGGGTCGGATGTCTGTATGTACTTTGTCCGGGACAGATTGCCGACTCACTCATTCCTGTGCACGTCCGCAGATGCCTAGGAATCTAGAAGTCTCGATGAGCTTGATTGAAGTCGTCACCTGAGTGTCAGATTGCCGCGTCCTGACTGCTCAGGGCTCTAATGACCATGGATTCGACTAGTACTGCAGAGAGGCGGAGAAGACGGCGGCGCGTTGCAGATGTGGATCGAAAGAGAGCACCACGAGCGTGAGAGCCAATGGTCATTGTACACGCTTTACCGATTGAGTGCGTACTGACAAGCTGACAGGTGCACTCTATGCAAGAGAAGGAAAAGCAAATGCATCCCAGCAAGGGGTAACCCTCGTATGGATGCACACCACAAATGTCAGCGATGTACGCTCAGGAATTTAGATTGTAAATTCGAGAAGTATGAAACCTAATTATTTTCTCTCATCAAATCTGGGCTACGCGACTGACTGCTAACTGCTAGAGGAGACTCGCCAGGGACTGAATCGTCGCTTACCCAAGTCCCAGCGCAATCCCCGAGCGCAGCCATCGATTCTACAAGACGGTTGCCAGATCATGCATCGATTGATCACTCCGAACTTTTATCCCCAGCCTCTGTTCTGTCGCAGGGTCTATCGACACACGTCATTGCAGATCAGTCGAAGCGAGTTCTGTGGCCCAATTTCCTATCTCGGCTTCGAGAAGCGTTCTCGCTCGGCCCCCATCATGCTCCGGAAGAACGGGAGATGGTCGCGATGCAGGCGGTATGATCCTACGCTGCAACGCAGCGGATATCTGTGTGACTGATTATCTCAAGAGAATAATTCAACCAAAAAGGCTACATCCCTCCGAACTATCAAGATTACAAGCAGCCATCGATGCGTTCCCTCCCCGTCCAGTGGCCGACTTCCTGCTCCACGTCTTCATGAAGCACGCCACCGATGTTTTTTTCTATTTCGATCAAGCTCAGATGCTCGCCGACGTTGATGAGTTCTATACGGACTTAGACTCACCTTTGAGATTTGATTCAGCCTTCGTCTGCCTTGCCATGGCCACCTTCGCTCTGGGGAGTCAGTGGACACCGCTGGAGAAGCCCGCAGGATTCGAGCCTAGCCTACTACCCAAAGAGAATGTAGAGCTCGGACATAGATTTGCGGCTCATGCTAAGACCCTCATACCGGATATCATCGAACGCTCATGCTTGAAATCCGTTCAAGCCCCATTTGTCCTGGGAGTTTATTTCATGCCTGCAAGTGCGATTGGGACATCCTACGTTTATCTGGGACTGGCATTACGAAAAGCTCTAGCATGCGATCTGCATCTCAACTCAGAAGATCTGTCCATGACCGAGCGAGATATAGAAGTGAGATGTCGTCTTTGGTGGTCTATTTATGCGCTGGAACGGTGCGTGGCTCGTGCTCCAAGGCCCTCCCTATCTCTACTGGCATTTCTGCTAAGTCGGTCAAAGTTGTACCACTGTAAAGCTGAACCGGCCTCGCTCAACTGATACCCGAATAATCACGGCGGCATACCCGTCTCAGAACGCCGTCCTTGACCGAGCTCAATCGTTCGAGAACCTCGACTGCCAGCTGGCTTACGTTCGCTTGGTCAGAATACTTGACGAAATCGCCGGTCCTGCGTATGCTACATTCCCTCACATGAGGAAGTCAACTATACTGACATACTCTAGTGATGGATTACCCAGCTCAGCAGACATATCCCAATCAACATGGAAAGATGACCTCAAAGCATGGAAGCGATCACTTCCCCCCAACCTGAAACTCGACCAGATCCCTCCAAGCAGCTGGAAGTATCGAGCCATAGCCCATCTGTACCTGAACTACTACTATGCAATGATCACGATGGGCAAAGTCGCCTTGGTAACTTTGGCTAGGACCAAGTTGAAACCGCCCGCTGATTGCGACGCACCGGAGATCAGCGACAAGGTCAAGAGCCTGGCCAATGGCTGCACAAAAGCCGCGAGGAAGATTCTACGCCTCTTCGAGAGCCTGACGCGACATCGAGTCATCACCAGGTTCTCGTTCACCGATTTCCAGGGCTGCAGCATCGCAACTATCGTTACCCTGGTCTCAGGGATCTTGGAACGCGATTCGGGGTATGATAGTCGGGTGGAGCTGGGATTCAACTGTCTGCGGAAGATGGCCACAGGGAATATGACCGCCAAATTGGGTGTGAGCTTTGTTGAAGCGGTGCAATCGATCACAAATGAAGCTGCGAGCAAGTTGCAACAACGGGACAATCCTGCCATGTCTCGAGGGGCTCCAACCCTGGATGTGCATTTGGGCTACAACCAGTGGCTGGAGTGGTTCGCCGTACAAGAAGACTCCAAAAGTCGCGAATCTTGTGGGATTGGGCCACGAGAAGAAGTCCCTTCGAGAGGAGATAGTAGAGACCGGGATGCGGAGTCATGGTTGGCAGTACCGGCCACCTGGCAAACACCGATGGAGCAACACATCCCAGAGGCAACATCCATTCCTGAGGGTTATTCGATTCCGTCTTCGGGATCTTCTTGTCCGCTTTTGCCAAATGACTTTTTCTCCGGCCTACACAACGATGAGCAGTCGTTCTTGATGGGGCTAACTGGACTAGATGCTCTAGGCGATGCTGTTGACTCCGTGTGTTGTTCTGCCTAGACATACCGCCTAGCGGGACCATCTTCTTCTTCCTTCTTATATCTAGTCTAGATAGTTTCCTCAACAATAATAGGAATAAATTAATCATAAGAGAGAAAGCAGCTTCTATAATAGTAGTATATTTTAAATTATATCTCTAAATATTAATTTTTTTGCTTCTAGACCCTTCGATAAAGCTTAATAGTATAGAGATTACTTCTATTATCAGCAGTATCTTTCTTTCTACAGCACCTACTACACATAATATTAAGTATTAAAAGTTAAGTATCGAATATTAGATATTAAGTAATAAGTATTAAGCCGACTATTTATCTTTTATTCTATACTTTTTACCTCGTTTTTTTTTGTATTTACAATAGATCTTATGTCTTGGGTTTCTAGATTAAATATCTGCTTATATATATTAAGATATACAGCGTATTAAGCTAGACCACGAGATTACTTTCTTTATATATATTTTTTTAAGCAACTTTATTTTACAGTTTAATTATAATACTATTAATTGTACTATTTATATTCTGCGTATAACTATATTAATATTAAATATTTCTAAATATTTATATTCTTCAGACTAAGATATTAACTGGTTAGTTCTGAATAAAATAGTTCGGGAGTTTTATTATATTATAAATTATTTATTAAATATACTATATTTTTAGTAATAGTTATAAGACTAAATATCTGACTAAATACAACCGAAAGAATTAGAGAAACTGCTCGAATATACTATTTTTAGATTTATAAATAAAATATCTAGTATTATAAATATATTTTTTAAGCCATCTAAACAAAAATAATAAATATTATAAATTTTTATTATATATAAACCTAAATTATTACCAACTAGAGTATATTAATCTTGTACTATTAATATAAAAAATATAAATACTGCTAGATGTATTTTCTTTTTTTCTTAGATATTTATACTATATAAATTGGATTTTATTTATTAGTTTTTTACTATTTCTATTATAAAATTAGAAATAGTACTGCTGGTAAGTATTATTATATTTATTTTAATATTTATATTTATATTTTTAATTTTAATATTTGTATCTTTCCCGAATATAAAAACTAATTTATTAAATCTACTGTTAACTAAGATTATTTTGACTTTATTTATTATATTACTAGCTGGATAGTTTACTGCTAAAAAGTTCTGGATTTTTAATTTGCTGACTGATAGACTTTATTTTTTAGATATATTTAGTTTATTAAATGTCCGTTTGTATACCTCTATTATTTTAGACTTTTTTTTATCTAAAAATAAAATAAAAGATATTCTGTTTATTACTTTTTTTTCTATTTTCTTTAAAAATAGTCTCTTAAATATTTTTAAAATATTATCTTCTATTTCTGTATTACTAAATTATATATTTATATTTATTTCTATTATTTTTATACTATAATACAAACTGTTTTGTAAAGTCGATCCGAATAAATAAATTATAGCTATTTAAAAATCAGATTTCCAGCAGCTACTGCTTGTAATTAATAATTTAATTAAATAAATAACTAGTATTATAAAATAAGTAGTAGATATTAAGTAATATATTAATACTTCTTTACTATATAAGAATTTTTTTTTATTTATTAATCTATTCGTTAACCTACCGGCTGCCAACTAGATTGTTTATAGTCAAGTATTAAAACCGAAGAAGATTAGATTCTTTTATTTAAATATAAAAGAAGAATTAAATTTAAAATAAATAAAAAATATTATATGATTTAAAAATGTTAATATATTTATCAACAGAGTTAATAATATTATATATTATTATAAAAAGGCTGTAGTTAAAGTTAATATTTAGAAATATTTATATAGAGTTGTACTTAATTAGTATCTATTCTTATCCGATTATTAGAAAAATATATATATACAACTTCTTATTTTTACCGGAATTTTTAAGAAATTAAAGCTTTATTTTAAATTAAATTTTATTTAAGTTTTAAATTATTTTTAAGACGGTAGCTAGTATAGCTAGACTAAAATTTAAAATAGTAAGTCTATTTAGACTTTTATTTAGAATATTATTTATAATTATTAAGTATCTTTAATTACCGAGTTATATAACTAAATATCTGTTATATAAACTTGTTTATATTCTAATCTTATTTTTAATATTAATCAGTTTATTCTAGTAACTAATATAGTTGATTTCTTAGATAAACTGAATATTAAGATAATATTTTAATAATATAAATCAGATTTTAAGTAAGAGTTTTATAAAAAATATTAGAAAACTAATTTTAGTAAGAATTAATACTCTAATAATTAGAATTTTAACTTTATTTTTAATACTAATTTTAATTTTAATTACAGATTTGGTTTTTATCGTAAACACGGATGCGGATATGGATTCGGATATAATTAAAACTATAATTAAAATAATAATTAGAATAATAATTTTAACTAGAATAATAACTTTAACTGAAACAACTCTAATTATAAGAATAATACTAATAATAATTATAATAATAATACTAATAAATATTTTTTTTAGAACTACTAGAATTTTTAAATATAGTAGCCACGCCCAGACTAGTTGCTACTAGCAGACTGTTTATAAAATAAAATAAAAAATAATAATAATAATAAAAATAGAAATAAACAGTTTTAGAATTATTAATTTTAATAAGCTTATTAGGCGTCGGTCTAAAACGAAGTATTTATTAATATTTAGTAGTATATTAGATATACTGTTATTATTAACTCTATTCTGCCGAATAATAGATATAATAAATAGTATAAGAATAATAAAAGATATAATAGATATAATAGATACAACAAATATAATTATAATAACTATAATAATTATAATAGTAATAATAGATATAAAATATATAAAAATATTTAGTATAAAGATTATAATTAATATAATTATATTACTTACGAGAATAAAAATAATTATATATATTTTATTTTTCTATATATTAAGAAAGAGAAAATAGTTATAATATATAATAAATATTTCGCGATTTTTATATTACGAAACTAGTTATATAAGTATATATTATATAGTATAGAGATATATATAGCAGAAAAAGATCTTTTTAAAATATTAGTACTAATATTTAAATTATAGAAGATATTCTATTTTTATATATTTTTTATTTTTTTTATATTTTCTATATCTTTTATATTTTATATATCTTTTATATTCTTTATATTCTTTGTTTTAAATATATTTTTTATACTTTTTGTTTTAAGTATATCTAACTGTTTATAAATATCTTTCAGACTATCTTATATTATAAAGCTTAATACTAAAAAGAAAATCAAATTTTTAATAAAAATAAAACCAGCTAAAGACTTTGTGTCTATAAATATCTTAGAAACTATATAAAATTTAATATTTATAAATATCTTAAAAACTTTACTTTTAGAATTATTATTTTTAGTATTAGTTAAGATATTTCTATTTCTATCTCCCGTATAAAAAGTTAAGTTAGAAGATATTTTAATTTCTATATAATATAAAAAGAATCTGGATATTAATATACTGTATATATAATAAAATACTACTATACTTACTGGTATAAATAAGACTAGTAATTTATATAAGATATATCTTAATATAAACTGTAGTTTTATATTAATTAATAAAGTATTTATATCTAGTATAAAAAATATAATATTTAGACCTATTAACAAGTCTATATATATTAATAATATTAGATCTTACTATATAGTAAAGAAGTATATTATTTTTAATATCTACTTTTTCTGCTTTTGATAAATTATTTTAGTATTATTTTAATATTCTATTAAGTATACAGTTGGACATATTACTATATAGATATTTATAATAAATAATCTAAAATTTACTGCAGATCTACTAATAGATATAGATATTATAAAACAAAAAGAAATCTTACTTAACTATAATTATTAGAAAGTATATTTTAAGAAATATAAAAATCTGCTGATAGATATAGAGGTTTAAATAAAAAAATATATTAATATTTTTATCTATTCGACTAAGTATATAATAATTCTATATAATTTAACTATAAGTATATTTATTAAAATTAAAGCAGATTTAGTTGACGACTATAACTACTTATTTAAACTAATAATTTTTAATAATAGTCTTATAGATTATATCTACTTAGTTAATATAAATTTTTTTTTATTTAAATTATAAATAAGAATATTAAAAATCTTATAATATTTTAAAATATTAGATTAGACAGTATTTATAATAACAACTATAATAGCTGCTACCGGACTGGGAATTATATATAAAATTTTATATAGTTTTTAATTAAAGTTAATTATATATACCAGAAAACTTAAAATAATTTTAAAGTATTAAATAATCTGTTTTTTAATAGATAATAATATTACTGTTTATACCAAGCCTTAAAATATAACTTTTATTATATATATATTAAAGACCAGCTTAATACTGCTAGTATAAATATATTTAATCTAAAAAATAAAGTTCTATTAAATATAAATAGTAAGACTAGTAAGCTATTTAATAATATTATTATTTATATAGATATTTTTAATATTATAAGACATCTTAAAAGAGTTCTTGCTTAATATAATATATAGACAGATTCTAATAGCTTTAATATCAGATTTATTAATATTTCTAAAAATTAGTAGCTTAATATTCCGATATAAAAAAAATAAAATTAAAACTAACTAAAATTATATATCTATAGGATCTCCAAAAAAGATTAAGATATTATAAATAAGATGTTTAATAATCTTTATATATAAAAAAAAATATTATATATAACTGGCTATATTCTAACAGTATATTCTATATTTATTATATAAAGAATAATTACCGATCTGTAAATCAGCTAGTAAATAATAAAAGAAAAAGTAGTAATTAATTTTTAAGATATAAATAGACTTATAATTTCCGATTTATATTTAATATTTATATCTAAGAATATTATTTAAATATTTATAGAATATATATATATTATTGTTATTAATATATATATATGCTTCTATTAATAACTAATTAAAAAAATAA